GGCAAACCCTGAAGCCGGTAGCACTGGGGCAGCCCTTTCCCCCTGGCTGGGAGTGGAAGGGAGGAGGGGGCGGAGTTAGGGTGGAGAAGGGGCGGAGTTGGGGCGGGGCTGGGGGTGGGGAAATGGGCAGGGCCAGGGCCCGTGGAGGGTCCTCTTTTTTTATTTATGAGATATGGTAACCCTAGAATAAACACGCACTGGGGCCCCAGCTGAAGAGGCGGGGCCTAAACATACATTGTAATTCCATCAATGCCAGGACAGTGGGATACACAGAATGATTGTGCGTGTTTTGCAGCACAGTCTGCTTGGTGGTGCTTAAAAACAAACGATTAAGAAATTATTATGCTATCTGAGTTGTGACTATTTCCGAATTGTTTATGAATCTTGACTTCCGCCGTCATTACATGGTTAAAACATAATTAGTATTGCAGGGGATTTTTAAATTCCTGCTAGTGCAAAAATGTAAGTGTATACGCTTTAAAAAAACCAAGAATGTGGAATTAAATGTTGATAACTATCAAGACTGATAAAGATGCAAAATTGTCCCTCCCCATCCTGAATCCATAGTCACTTAGGAGTATCATGACTGTTATTGTGCAGTACACCATGGCCATGTGGAGCATCACAGAAGCCGCGGGGGATAGAACTCACATCTACCCTGCTCCAGAAGGACAAGTCCCTAGTATATAAGTTCAAGGAGCCTCTCCATTAGATTTTATCAGTATAGGGCTTCTGACACACAGCTGAGCAGTTCTGAGTCCATTCAATAGAGGGCAATGCAATACGTACACATACTAGCCATCTCATTACAGTTCAGCATATTAGCCTCAGCAATGTTTAGTCTCTGGCTCCACAGAGAGCTGATTGGGGTGGGAATGTGTCATCTTCTGTATTTGGAAAACACATGCTACCATTTGGGTGCTAATATTTAAAGGAATATTTAAAAAATAATTTTCTAACTGCCTCTTTCCATGCAAACCCGTGCCATGCATACCTGTCAAAGTGAATGCAATTGACCATCGATCAGTGCAGTCAGTTAGAAGGTAAACCAATCTGGATATGGGAAACTGTTATAAAGGCCAATTCTCCATTCAGCCAAATTCTTACTACAGGCTTCAAAGAAGCATTTATCAACAGGGATCGAGAACAGGCTCTATCCACCAACTTCGGGTGCTCTTGAGAGGAGGCATTAGGTGCACTGGAGCAATCCATGTTAAATGCCCACATCTCCTCCTTTAATCTAAATTTACCTTGTCTCACTAATAACCTGGGACCATCACAGCTACAACAACACGGCATGCGTGTCTCTCCTTGTTCTTTGTAACAAGAATGGAGTGGCCTGAACCCTCACTGCTACTCCACACCCCCGAGCCCATCAGATCCCCAACGGCTAGCTTTGTTCTGCCCTGTTAGTCACCTGCTAGTGCCCATTGAAAGCGTTTCAGGGGCGGGCCCAGGAGGCATGATGTAATAGCACAGCAAGGGATAATGAACAAAGAGGAGATAGATAGTGGGAGGACCAGGGTTAGGACAGGAAGAGATTTAGAGATGTTTTATTACACATGCATTTGAGCAGGTGCTTGGATATCGCATTGTATTTATTTTGTGGGGCTGAGCAAGGAGAGCGGAATCTATATATACGCTGATAATTATAATAGGAGGGAAGAATCCGGGAACAGGAGTGCGGACGACTAGTAGTCAAGCAACAGCCACTAGACAAAATAGCTGCATCTGTTGTGTGGTGTAACACAAATCGTTTCGTCTGAACGTTGTCCTAGGATAAATGTCTGCTACTTTGAAAATCAGCCTCTTGACTTTGTGCCTGCCATTCATCTGTCAGCCGGAGACCAGTGTGAACTTCGGGCCACCAGCCCGCCCCAGCCCCAGCCCCTCCCCACTAGCGGAATTTCTGTGATCTTGTAAGCTAGCCATAAGCTAGCAGGGTCAGGTGAAAGGCCTACACACGAAAGAAGAGGCGCTGCGGCCCAGCACAGTGTTAGGGGATTATGTGCTATGGTGATGGGTGGGAGTAGAAAACCCTAAGCTAGGGAAAAGCAGTGTTGGTGACTCAGTCATTGGCACTCTTGCTCTGAATCAGGTTTGAAATTGGGAGTGTCACCAGCATGCAGTCTAGTTTTAAAATTCCCAAAGAGGCTTCCATTACTTTCCTTAGACCTCCGTGATAGGAACCATATCCTGTCATTCAGTTTAATTTTTTCCTTTCATTATTTTGTTCCATTACACATGTGTATCACCACAAATAATTCCTCCTCCTCAGTGTCTCACGCTTCAAAGATAGCTGGGCAGAGATGCTTTTAATCTCTCTATAATACCTAGCTCTTTTATAACACTTTTTATCAGCAGATCTCAAAGCACTTTACAAACAAGGTGAATCCCCATTTTACAGGTGGGAAAACTGAGGCACAGAGCTGTTAAGTGAGTTGCCAGAGGTCACCCAGCAGGCCAGTGGCATAGCTAGGAATAGAACCCTAGTCTCTTAAATGCCAGTCTACTCTTCTAGCCACTAGGCCACACTGCCACTCATCAATCAATCCCTCCACCTCCTCCTCATATCTGTTGTTTTTCTCTCTACTCCCTCCTATCTGTGCAGTATCTTCTTTGTAACTAGAATAACGACAATCTTCCCTCCAATCCCTGCCAAAAACTGAAGTGAACAAATGAGCTTTACACCCTAGCCGGTAGGGTCAATAAACTGTCAGCACTGTCCTACCAACAGGCAAAGCAAATTCCATAGCCAGGCACCCTCTGTAGAGAATGCTTTGTCCCCAAAAGGTCAAATCTAGCCACTGTTTGGGAGAGCATCCAACATGCCAAACCTGCAAAAAACAAACAAAAACAAACAAAACCCACTGAAATTGGGCTTTTTGGCTTAATTGGCTTGTGAGTTGCTTGTTGGCTTGTTTTTGGCTTGTAGGTTGTTGCTTGTTTGGCTTGTTGCTTCTCTTTTTTTGATCAGCTCCCAGCAAGCAGGGGCAAGGGGTGGGAGAGAGTCGGGGTGCACAGCGAGCCCACCACAGTCCCAGACTGCACGCCGGGGCGATCTAGTCACATAGAGTGTTGGGGTTCTTAGGGATTGGCTTGTTTTGAAATGGGATTAGCTTGATTTATGGCTTATTGTGAAAGTCGGGGGGCTTATTTACCGTGTGAAAGTTGGCACCTGAGAGAGCATCCCATCTAATCTCAACTGCTCTGATGGCGCATTGGGAGAGAGGTGTGTCTCATGCAGCCGGGACCCAGATCATGTAGGACTGATCTGTAGGAGCACTTTGGATTGCACTTGGCCATTCCCTCAGTGGCCTCTGTGTTATCAATACCTAGGAGATGCCTTAAGAAGACATGTCCCAGTGCTCCATCATTCACTTTCCCTTAGCCACTCCCTTGCTGAGCTGGGGTCTGGACTGGCCACTGTGGATGTGAGATGACAGAAGGGTGTGGTGGCTCTGAGGTAATCTCAACTCCTTGCCCTTGGGGCTATGAAGCGGCACAAGGCCCAGCTGGATTTCCAGGGCTGTAATTATCTTGGAATGACCACACCCCATCGAGCTGGCTAATTCCCCTGAAAGGGATTATCTGTCTAAAGGAATCTAGGCTGTTGAATAAGCCCCATGCAGTCCAGGTTTCACTTGCATTGTGAAGAAAAAGCCACTCTAAGGTGGATTTCTGAGAGGAGACCATGCCCGAGAAATGGGCGGGGCTTTGCACTAAAGGACAAATGGCTAGATACTGGAAATAGCAGCGAATCCTTCCCCCGAACACCCTAGTGAAGAGAGAACTGCTCCATTCTGGCCTCCCCTGTGCTTGGGGAAGGTTTCACTTCTGGTCCAATCTGGGCTGATCCTGCTGTCATTGATTTTAATGGGAGTTGAGAGCACTCAGCCCTTGCAGGAGACTCTCCGCTCCTTGCAGGACAGAGCCCTCGTTAGGTCTGATCCTGCCTCAGTAAAGTCAATGGGGCCTTTGCTCTTGGTTTCAGTGGGTGCAGGGGCAGCCTGTAGAAAGGTCCTGCAGCTGAGCTGTGGGCCTCCAAGCCTGCTTCTGGAGGCAAAAGGGGATGATACCCCAGGCTCATGGCCCCCGGGCCTGCTTGGCATTTTCCCATAACGTGAACAAAATACTGGCCCAAGTTACCTGTTGTTGATATTTCCTGAGTGAGTGCATCTCCCATTGACAGCTGGGTGCACACACCTGGGGACTGGCTGGAGATGGGGAGGGTGGGGGCAGCGTGAGAGCTGTACTTCCCCAAAAGGGAGGGCAGAATACAGACCTAGATAGAAGAGCACACGCAGCAGCTTCATTCATTATCCTCATCAGCCCAGTGCTGTCCAGTAATGGGGGCATTTTAACAAGGCCTAAGGGGGCGATTTTTCATCTGCACTCAGCATTGGCCTAACCTGGCTCCTAGTGCAGTTCCACTGATGTCAATGAAAGCAGAGTGAGGATAACATGGAGTACATTGGAAAATCGCACTCCGACCAAACACCTACCTGGGCAGCCCTTACTCTCACGCTAGGGTCCACAGGGCTGCACTGTTCAGATGAGTAAGGGCTGCTGGATTGGACCCTGAGTGCCTGCAGGATGTTCATTGTAAATGCCCACACGCCCTCTTGCTGCTGTGTGGTGAGGAGGGCATGCTCAATGCCACCCAAAGAGTAGGCACAAAACCACAGCCCATGCCCTTTCAATGGGGAAGGGTTAGTCTTGTAGTTAATGCATAGGCCTGGTCTCAGGTTCTATTCCTGGATCTGCCACAGACAAGCTGTGTGGCCCTGGTAAGTCCCTACCTCTCTGTGGGCCTCAGTTTCCCCATCGGTACAGTAGGCCTAACTCCTGGGGACAGCGAAAAGCTCACTTGTTAAGTGCTTTGGGATCTTTGGTGGGGAAGGGCAGCATGTTGTTATTAGCGCTGTTGCAGAGCTTGTCCAGGAGGCTTTAGCTCTCTCTGGGAGCTTTCCATCCCCGAGCCTGGAGCACTGCTCGTGGCTGTCCTCGGGTTCCATCTGGCCCAGCAGTCCCAGGTCACCTTGAAGCCCACTTTCCTTCCATCTGCGTTTCCAGAGCCAAGTGCCCTGGGGTTAGCTCCTTTTCGGTTGCTGCCCCGAGTTTGGAAGCCTAATTGCCAACAAAAGCATTTCCAGTCCCTCCTGTGCCTCGCATGAGGGACTCCCTTTGTTTTCCTGAATGGCCTGTGTTTTGTCCCTCAGTCCCGCTGCAGAAAGTGGCTCCGATTCAACTTTAACGCGTACACAAACTCCAAGTCTTTCCGAATGAACCTCTGCCGTACGTATTGACCGCGCCAGTCACCATGGGCACCTGGTGCTGCCACACAGGGCAGGGCCTGGGCCTGTGGCGCCAGGGCTCTCTCCAGGCAGGGGCAGAGAAATATTCCTTCCTCCTCTGCACTACGAGGTTGGGGCAGTACGCTCCCCATGAGGCCTAGTGCAGCTGCTAAGGACACTGGGCCCCATCGGGTGCTACTCACTCCTGCCGCAGAATTGGCACTAAGCTGCTGCAGGCAGGAGAGGGAGTATTCCTTTGCAGGGGGTCACCCTACTTCTTGGCCCTCCAGAAGCGGCGCTTCTCAGAAGCCTCAGGGGGATGTGGGTGGCAGTGGCTCACTTTGAGAAAGGATCCAGACAGGGATGTTTTGCCCTGTCTGCTTTGTGTAGACGCTAAAGGTCCCGCGCTCCTTTTTGTAAGAGCAGGGTTTGCTTGGTGCCCTTGGCCAGTGCTTATTCACCAGTGTGCCGGCTGCCATTCTCCACCCCAGAGGTGGCTGCGTTGCAGTATGTGTGTGTGTGTGTACAGCCCCAAAGCATCTTGGGCTCTCTCAGGAGGAAAAAGATAATCTAGTAAAGCCAGAAGATGTTCATTAGAGATGGGTCTGAACAAAACACTCCCATCTCCAAGCATGCCCCTGGCCCGTAGTAGCTCTGTCATGGGTTAATGTGACAGACTGGTTCCAAACTTCCTCACTGGGAGGAGTCAGGATCCGTCTGTGGGGATGGATCCAGGCTGTAAACGTCAGTGTTAATTATTATTAGTGTAAGAAGCGAAGGAGTCTGTATCTGTTTCTTACCAGGCTTCTGATTTCATTCTTCAGCTGGAGGCCAGTTCTTCGACATGTGGGCTCTGAAGCAATTTGCTGTTCAGTGTCCTTTCCACCCAATAACAATTTCCATCCCGCCCTCTTCCCCCCCCAGTGCAAGATGTCTGTGAATGGTCAGCGAGGAGAGTGCTGGTGTGTGAACCCCATCACTGGGAAAGTGATCCAGGAAGCGCCCACCATCCGCGGAGACCCCGAGTGCCACCTCTTCTACACGGCACGTGAACAGGAGGAGCGGGGAGCACACGCCCTGCGCACGCAATAGGTGGACGCGTTCCTGCTCACTGGAGACAGCTCAGCCTGGCCCTGGTGCTGGATTTTACATGGGTTTCAGCATGTCTATTTATATTCTGAAAAAGACTGGCTTTGTGCATTGCCTGTGGCCCTCTTCTCTCGCCTTCAGCCCGCTGGGAAAGGACTGGGGTGCAGGGTGGGTTGCAAGAGGGGAAGGGGCAGAAATTGCTTTTCTTTGGTCTTTCGTGTAAAGTCAATGAGAGACAAAGCTTTGTCTTCTGTCAGCTCTGCCCCCACTGCAGCGTACTAGGTATTCGCGTGCTTCCAGAGTCACCCGCCGCCCGCTAGCCCCACCACCGCAAAGTGATAGCGTAGTGCAAGGGAAACAGGGCATACGCGGGAGGCCCAGGTGAAAGCCAAGCAGCCCTGTTGAATGTAGAGTCCTGAGCTCCCCGGATGTCTCCAAAGAGCCTAGGTGATAATGCTCAAAACAAGATGGATGAAAATCTCCCCCCCTCCCCCCCCAAGACCAAAGAATGTAAATAATACACATCACCTCCTGCTCGAGTCCTGTCAACCTGTCCCTATTGCCAAGCTGCTGTTTCTGTTTGTCATGAAGTGGGCTGTGGTGGTGGGGTAGGAAAGGAGGGGAATTCCTGAATTTCCCAGATGGATCACGCCAGTACACAGCTCCAATAACCCTCCTCTGGCAAGGCAATGGAGAGAGAAAGGAATTGAGACTGTACAGCCAGCCCCCTGCATTGCACCTGGGGCCACATCCCCGGAGATGCGGAGCACTTTCAGTTCTCATAGACTTCACTGAGAGTGGATAGTTCTCGGGATCTCTCAGGACCAGGCCCTGAATTATAACCCAAATCGTAAAGATCCAGTCCCGGGATCTGCTGGGCAATCTCACTTCTTGTGGATAGGAGCCTTACTGGTAAGGTGGGAATTAAGGGCCCGATCCTGAGAGATGCTGACCAACTGCAATTTAATTTAATTGCAAGTGCTCCGTATTTCCCAGGTTCAGGCCCTACATTTTTTAACTGAAGGAGCAAAAATTAAATTGCAGAGCGAGGAGGGCTCTTGCAGATTTAGGGTAACAATCCAGGGAGAGTCTCTCTCTTCTCTCTCTCTCTCTTTTACTAAATAGCAAAAACCCATCTAAAACCCGCACTTCCAAGCGGCTGCCAACGTCCCTCATATGTTGCAGGGAGCATCAGCCATTCAGCACACACCTTTTGTAAGTAAAGTGCAGTATATATATAGTGCTTTGGAAAGCGCCCCCAGCCCCCCATGTGTGCGTGCACACACACACACATACACTCTCTCTCTCTCTCTCATAGATTTAATAAACACAATTCCAGGAACTGTCGGTGATGTTGCACTGGAAGATCAGTTCCCACACTTTACTTTACACATTGATTTGTTTCTGTATGAAACACACAGAAGCTGAGAGTAAGCCATGAGATTTTCTTTCATACCTATGACATTTGCAGGACAGTTACTAGGTCCTTACACTTAGAATTTTTTAAAAATATATTCAACGAGGAAGATAAGGCATCTCCAGCGCTCGCGTGTGGAAGTTGGTTCATTTCTAAGGAGGTGATTAGTTGAAAGGAAAGGAATGAGATTTAAAAGACAGGGCAAAGCATGTGGACTGCCCATGGGGGAGTTTGACTAGACTGTTGGAGCCAACTATGGCTCTGCCGGTGAGGCACGCTGAAGATGGACAAGTGCTTTGGAAGAGCTTTCAGGGGGCAGAATGTCTGCTCATGGGGAAATGTGCGGCAGCTCAGTGACTCACTGGGGAAGCAGCCTAAGCAGTAAAACAGCCACCATCCACTGAAGCGTGTGAGTCATTTTGAGGCGCTGCTGTGTTATGTCGTATGCATCATGTGCTGCCCATAGAACTGGGAGAGGGGTTAAATCTGCACAAAATTGTTACCAGCTGAAATGAAAGGAGGGCGTGTGACCTGAACTTCACTCTGCCTAACAATGTAACACCTCTGGGCTTAGACTTTCCGTTCACTTCCTTGCTGTATAGTAGTTGAACTGAAACCGTGGTTGGCAAATCCGAGAACACCACTTGGGGTAGGAAGTGAGACCAGGCTTAACAGTTGTTCTTTTGCTCTGTGAATATTTGCTGCCCAATTTAATGTACTTTTTGTGATCTAGTTTGCAGTTAGTTACCAGTGTCTTCGATCGGTAAATATCACCTGCACTTGAACACACACACAAAGATGATCTTAGTTACCAATAACAATTGCAGGCTCTTCTTAAATGCAGATGCAGCGCTGTAATGGACAAAAGCATCAAGGGGGGGGAAAAATCACACCCAGGTTTAGCGTTGTTAATATGAACAGAAAAAAAAATTCTGGAAAGGATCAAAATGTCACATGGAAACCGCAATGTCACAAATGTCACAGAGAACCCCCAGGATGGGAGCTGCTCTCTGAAATTAAACCCCCAACTCATCCACCCGTGAGATGAAATACGAAGGAGATTACAAAGGGAGGGGCGGGAGTCATCTCTTTTGTCTAGGGTGTGTGTGTGCACGCGCGCAAAATCTAGTCATTGTAAAAATTGGTGCTACCTGTTTTCTGTTAACATCAAAGGGGGGTTGTTCTGCTTTTCACATAAACCTAGTGAGCATCTGATCTTGGCTGCAGTTTGTACCTTTTGTTTTGTTTAGAAATCATGATGCTTTTTTCTTTCTCTTTTGGAAAAGCTGAACTGCATAAGTTGGAATAAATTAAACGGGATGCCAAAAAAGTGTCATCTTTTTTTTCCCCATCCGTTAATAGAACATGTGTTTTTGCCTGGTGCATCACACACAAATACTGGCCCATTCCCTGCTTTGTCCTACGGGTATTGTAAACGTGACGCAACAGGCAGCAAGGAGACGGTGGCCATTTATTATTATTATTATGGGTCCCAGTTGTATATGGCGAGAACAGAGGTAGAAGTTAGCCAGCCTGCCCGATGCATCTATTCAGTGCTCCTGGCCTATACCATTTTGAATAAAGATACGGTAAGTCTTTGGCCCTCCTAGTTGCAAAGAAGATCTTCCATGTATGAACCAAGTGTAACCCAAGGCAGTGAGCCTGTTGACGGCCTGAAACAATAGCTCTGAGAAGTGTGAACCTCCCTGCCACCCCGGCTTTCATTGAGAGGTTAACTCCAAAGTGTACGGGTGGAATTTTAAATGGCAGCATTTATTAAGTGATCATTGTGGCAGATGGACTGGGGAAGAACGGAGGAATGACGGCTAGGAGGGATGGTAGTTGGGAGCTGCTGCAGGGAAGGAAATACAGACCCAAAGGAGGGGAGAAAGAAATACAGGGAAAATAGAGAGAGGAGGCTGGGGAAGGAAGAGAAACAGGGCAGAAGCAGAGATTGTCTTGGTCACAACTAAGGACAACCACCTGTATTTCCCCTCAGTGGCCCAGCAATAGGGTGACCAGACAGCAAGTGTGAAAAATCAGGACCGGGGTGGGGGGTAATAGGCGCCTAATATAAGAAAAAGCCCTGAATATTGGGACTGTCCCTATAAAATCGGGACATCTGGTCCCCCTACCCAGCAAGAACACCCACTCATGCTTCCAGTTCCCCAGCCTTGCCTCTGCACAGTTCCCTGCCTTCATTGTGTTATTCCCAGCAAAGGCCAACTGCCCAAGGCTGCCTGCTTGCTTTCTCTTCAGAGATGGTTAACAAGAGTGATTGCTACGGTTATTAGTTCCCACACAGCACTTCCTATGCAAGCCTACTTTATTCTTATGGGAAAAGCATTAGAGAGGAAACATCTTAAAACAATAAAAGAACCTACACACATGCTAATGAGCTAACCAGAGTTAACCCCGACCCTGGCATGGATTCTGGCAGGAGCAGTCCTTCAGACCCCTACCCCGGGGGGATTCCTTGTTGTTACATGTTCAGCAGGGGACAGGACTAGAAGACCTCTCGAGGTCCCTTCCTGTCCTGCACTTCTATGATTCTATCACCGCTTCCACTCAGAACAAGCCCAATCTTATGGGGGCTCAGTAGGTCCAGTCCTTCCAACTCTACCCTAACCACATCAGCCACACCATCAAGGGCTCATTCACCTGCACGTCTACTAATGTGATATATGCCATCATGTGCCAGCAATGCCCCTCTGCCATGTACATTGGCCAAACTGGACAGTCTCTACATAAAAGAATAAATGGACACAAATCGGACATCAGGAATGGTAACATACAAAAGCCAGTAGGTGAACACTTCAATCTCCCTGGACATTCTATAACAGATTTAAAAGTCACTATTGAACAAAAAAACTTCAGAAACAAGCTTCAAAGAGAAACGGCAGAACTAAAATTCATTTGCAAATTTAACACCATTAATTTGGATTTGAATAGGGATTGGGAGTGGCTGGCTCATTACAGAAGCAGCTTTGTCTCTCATGGAATTGACACCTCCTCATCTATTATTGGGAGTGGACTACATCCACCCTGATCGAATTGGCCATGCCAACACTGGTTCTCCACTTGTGAAGTAACTCCCTTCTCTTCATGTGTCATTATATAATGCCTGCAGCTGTAACTTTCACTCCATGCATCTGAAGAAGTGGGTTTTTTACCCACGAAAGCTTATGCCCAAATAAATCTGTTAGTCTTTAAGGTGCCACCGGACTCCTTGTTTTTTTGTGTGGATACAGACTAACACGGCTACCCCCTGATACTCAACCCTACCCTAATAGTTGGAGGAGCCATCCATGGATCATGGTTCCTGTCCAATGGTTGGATTGGGAAGAAGACCCTGAGCTAGTTTAAAACCAGGCTATTTGTCCGAAAGCCCTTTCTTTGTCTGTTGGTCCCTGGTGAATCCAGTTTGAACTAACGTATGCACCTCTCCAGGGGGTTGGGTTCAAAGGGTTGGTAAGGGAAGAATTACATTAGCATCCCCCCTCCCTACTAGAGGAAGTACTTACAAGACCACAATAACACATAACCAATTGCATTTTTAATGCAACCCCCCCGCCAAAGGTATTAACCCTAATTCAATAAAGGTTAGCTTAATTCAGTGAAGTTGATCTTAATTCCCCAAGGATATTACAGGCCTGAAGAAGAGCTCTGTGTGAGCTCAAAAGCTTGTCTCTCTTACCAGCAAAAGGATATTACCTCACCCACCTTGTCTCTCCACTATCCGGAATAACACGGCTACACCACCACTGCGTATTACAGGATATTGGCTGTCCGTCACAGTGCTGGCCCGGGGCACGTTTTCCAATGAATGATGCGGAATGTGACAACCAGATGCTGAACGAATAATAGTGATACCAGCATAAAGTTGGTTTGCTCCATGAAGGCCCCGTGCTCCCCTGGATTGGTATGTGCCAGACGCCCGTTGAACGTCAGTGGGCTATCCGCTGCCACTCATGGAGGCCTAAATGTGTCCCGTATAATTAGAAATGGAAGTTGCCCTGTCCTCTGCTGCTTTAAAGGAGTGACCTTGCTTAAAAGAGAGGCTCTCTTGCCCCTGGAACTGTCTCT